CAGAGCAGACTGCACCAGCAGGGAGATCTCTTCGAAAACCTCACGTTGAGTGGCACGCGGCCCGAACACACGGTCGAAGCTGAAGTTATAGCTCTTCTGAGTGTCAGCCGTGCGCCCCGTGTGCGACTGAGGAAGAGAAGAGCGAATTTGAAAGGCTGTTGGTCACATTCTTTAGGTTATACCAAATTTAGTCTTAGCCTCAGATTTATTGGTTGCATGCTGGTATGTTATCATAGAGACATCAACTTCACAGTTACATGCCCTAAACATCAACTATGATTGGCTGCTTTACATGTCAGTCAGACAGTCTCATGCGCTCCTTGGCCAATGAAAGCTGTGATTAGGTCCAGGCCTTCGGTCCTCAGTCTGAAGGTCTGGCTACACAGGACTATACCAACATCCATAAGACCAGAAGCATGATGGGAAGCATTTACCTCTTCCGTTTTGGCAAGTGTAAGAGCCTTGTTGTCATGGGCCGGCAGCTGGATGTGCAGAACATCAGACTGATTGCCAGTCAGCAGTGGGCGGACCCTACAAAACACTCGGATGTTGCCCTAAAAAGAGGGTGTGGATTAATTAATGCATATTTGAACAAATGACTGAATACATAAATACATAAGTGGGATTTTGGACAATCTCACTTTAAGAAAAAGTTACCCAACATAATGTGACAAATAGACACCAAGCAACCAACAAAATGTATTATTGCTCGTTTCAGTCATAAATGGTTATGATTTATCACTTCATGGTGTCACACACCAAATAAACAAAATAGCTTTATATGATTCTGCAAACAAATCTATGAAAGCTCACTTTGAGCTCTTGAATAGTGTTGTGGAGCTTCCTTCGCTCCATTTCTCCAAGGTGGAGCTCTTCTCTTTCCCGGGCCACCGTTTCCTCAAGGTTCCTGACCATTTCTTGGCTCTCCTTCAAACTGTCCTGACACTGCCTCAGTGTAGAGGTCTGAATGGCGAGCTGAGTCTGAGAAAGACACGGGAAGAGTTTGACAGAATCAGATTACACAAAGCGGATGTTAATTAAAGGTGTAAATGTGGCTGTATAAATATTTACCTGTATATTGCGGAGCTCAGACTCCAAATGATCTCTGAGTCCTTCCAAAACCTTATGCTCCTCGTTTAGCTTGCTGAGGTCTTTCTTAAGACCATCTCTCTCTGTAGAGGTTTGCGCCAGGTCATCTTTCACAGTAGCCAGCTTTTCCAACTCCTCTTCACAATCCCTACAACAGAATCAGGAATATTATCAGACAAATAAATAAAAGACCACCAGGTTGATTCATTATGGAGTTAATTTTAACATGCTTACCCGAGACGCTTTTTGAGACCTTTGTTCTCATCTTCGATTTCAGCCTTATGCTTTTGGGCTTTGGTTATAGAGTCCTTCAAATTATCGTTTTCCAGATTTACCGATTTTATTTTGCACTGGTAATTCTGGACTTTGGCTTCCATGTCACTCACTTTGCCCTTCAGGTCCCATCCTGGCCTCCGT